AAAAAAAAAAAAAAAAAAAAAAAAACAGAAAAAATAAGTCGGTCGTTTAATCCTCAGATCGTCGCCGATTTTGTGTGGATGACGGGAAAGGACGGCGATGGCGACGCGATATCGGCGACTCGAGGCAGGGGCCTTGAAAAACAGATTTGAAGGTTCATCGGAGATGGCGACCTTCCCTCATTGCCTGAGTTGAGAGCGGGTTGATAGTTGAGAGCGGTGGCTGCAACGAGGCGGAGGCGACGCGGTGACTGCCACGAGGCGGCGGCGACGCGGTGGCTGCAACGAGGCGGCGGTGACGCTGTGACTGCAACTCGACGGCGGGAGAAGAAGCTAGCATCGCCGTCGAGGAGGTGGATACGACGTGGTTCGGCCAATTGAAGCGGTGGACTGGCGGCGCCTGACGAATTCCGGCGGCTGAGGTGGTGTGGATTGGTGGCTGCCGGAGTTTGTGTGTGTGTGTGTGTGATTTCAGATCTGAAATCGATTTGGTGTGAAGGAGGGTGATGAAAAGGAAATAAAATGGGTACATGTTAGGGCATGAGAAAATAGTGAATCCTCTATCGAGAACAAAAAAAGAAGAAGAGAAATTTGAGTAAATAAAATGAAATGTAATTTTAGAATAGTCGGTGGTTTAATTGAGATATGTAATTCTGTATAGTGTGAATGTTAAGAATAAAATATTTAAAGATCTTTTATGTAAATTTATTAAAACTTTTTTTAAATAAGGGTAGTTTAGTATTTACACAAATTATTAGCGACACTTGGCATTTATTTGAGACATACCTGTTATTATGCATATACGAGGCATGTACGAGGGGTACCTGACAGTAGAATTACCCTTCTTAGTTTCCTTTTCTTTTTGTCTTCTTCTTGAAATCTTTTTGACCTTTGAATTCTGGTAATTTTTTCTGCCCAACATCAAATATAATTTGATATCACATCTGTAGCCTTATTCGTTATATTTAGTGGGATTTATTTCTTTTCATCTCATACGTCTCTATTTATTGTGTTTCTCATTTTTTTTCCAAGGTCAATAGAAGGGTATTATTTCTTTTCATCTCATACATATATCTCTATTTATCGTTTCTTATCGTCTTTTCTTCAAGGTCAACACATTCATTCAGTAATATTTTCCATTTTTCCTTCTTAAAGTTCTTTTGAATTTTATTGGAATTTAAAAAAATAAATATTGTTGTGCTCTCCATGACTTTTCACATTTCATACTAGGATATCTACATACATAAAGGAGGTATTCATCTATAAATATCTTCACAAATATATCAATAGAAAAATATTAAATGTGCTAAAAAGCTAATTTGGGCTTGACATACTTTTTATGTTTTTGCAGTTTCAGCCCAAGCTGAATATAAGAACTAATAATAAGACTTGTAAGTTGTAATATATATATAATGGAAGTAATAATAACAAGATACCAAGAATGGTTCTGAGCCCGATCGATCATAAGACTTGGCGGGTAGTAATTTATACAATGGAAACATTGTCAATTGATACGTTACTCTGACAATATTTGGATGTGAAAATTACGACTATATGAGAAAGATATTAGTATCACATGAGTTAGGGGAAGTCATTGCAGATGGAGTCAATATTCCCACAGGTATATCACCATTTATCAATTCAAGTATAGAATAAGCTAAGATAAGAATGTTGCAAGGATGTGCAAACGCTCTTCATATTTCATCAAGCCTTGTCAGACAATATTTTTCCAAGAGTCATCAAAGTCAATAGTGCTAAAGAAATTAACATGAGAGATTCTACAAGAAAATCTTCAAAGAACAACAAGGTATGCGCAGTGGCGGAAGACAATTCTGACTAGCACAATTGTTTTGAATTTCCCGAGTTTTTGTTCAGTTTCTGTTCAAGTGGTCTCGTATTTTATAGTCCCATTTTTGCTCATGTATTCATGCAATTCGACTTTGATCTCTTTATAGCATCTTCAATGAAACATTGTCCACTTTGTATTGTATGACATGGAAAAAGAAAATTAAAAAATCGCATCTTCAATGGTTAATGTTGATTTTGGTATCATTGTGATGTGTAAAATTGTTGATTGGAGAGGAGAAACAAGTTAAATAAATAATATATTACATAATAAAACTTGTTCAGGATGATTTATACAACTAGAAAGTCTTCTAAACATTTTCTATGTCGCATAGGATAATTTGTGCATTGACAACAAAATAGAGCAATGAAAAGACTATTGTAGATGCTCTTAAATTAAATGGTTATTTTGATTTTAAGGAAATGGAGTTGGAAAATTAGGAGGAATTTGTTTTATGATATAGCCCACGCTCTTCCCCCTCTTCAAGCAATATTTCTTTATTTCATTATTTTCTAACTCCGGTTCACTATATAATTTAATATTTATTTTTTTCGATTGATGTTTCCATAAACAATTAATACAATAATAGTTTTGCTTTCTCGATGTGCTGTCGTGGGTTAGGTCTTACCATGATAGTCGATACATAAGTGGAAAGTGGAAGTATACATAATATCATAATGTGTGAATGTGGTTGAGCAACTTATTTTCACATGACTACGGATCTAATAAAAATGCAACTAAAAATATATCGGGAATAAAAAAATAATATTTTAATCATTTTCTTAACATATTTCTTACAAGGTCGTCGTGTTTGTCAGGATCACTATAAAAAAATATCTCTAAAACCCATATTACGGCTACATCATTGACTTACAACAAGTTGAGCAGGATGATAGTAAACATTAGAAATTCGTTAATATCATCTTGATAGTAAACATTAGAAAAAAGCTCAGGAAGTCCGATGCGTAGATAAGTAAAAATTATGGTTAATCAAATGGCACAAAGTGAATAGCTGAATATAAAATTCGGGTGTAACTTTAAATAATTTAAAATAGTTATCATTGTACTAATTATTTAATAATTATTATATTAATACCCATAATAGAATAATAATTTATTTTACTTTCTTTTATTGTTTTATAAATATTTATTTGTCAAACAATATATGGTACACCAATATAGTACTAGTAAAAATTGACAATCAAATTTGTATTGAAAAGGTCACTGTGTTTATTGTACCTTTTAAAATGGTCATATTAAAAATATCTCCACTTAGAATTCTTTTTAATCTATCTATATATATAAAAAGTTTCACAATTACCTGAAATAGTAATTGATTTCCCACTTAAATAATTCACTTTTACTTTTATTAATAAATAATTTAAGAATTAGCAGTAATTGCTTGGAAATTCGAATTACAAAAGAATAAAATCTGTACAATATTCATTTGGTGATAACGTTTGATGTAAAGGCCATCTCCAACCATTATCTCTATTCTTGCGCAGACTTTACTTTACTCTAAAGTAGAGTTGAACATTCATTTCCAACCCTTATTATGTCCACATTTTACTCTACATCAAATATATTATTTTTTGATTCATTTTTTATTTCAAATAAATTGGTATATATGTATGGAATTACTTTAATATCATTTAATATCTTAAAGGTGCATTAAGCCTGTTGATTGAGAGATGCAAGATTTCGAGAGAAATATGATCTAATTTAGAGGGGACATAAAATAATTTATCAACGTCTTCCATTTCTTATTTGAGTTATGGTAAGATGAAAATATAGCGAGGGAGAGCCAAATTATAGATATCCAAATCATTTTTCATAGAATATTTTTTCCGCCACCCCAAATATAAATCCAAATGAAAGAAAAATGGAACAGCTAAAATCGATTTAGCGGACCAAAATTAACATTGACCGTTGACGGCTTCATTGGCACAGGGATCACAAAAAGCGGCGCTATGAAAAATATGTCCGTCCCCAGATCCTTCTTCGACAGGAAGTGCATCAGTAGCGTCACGAGCCCTCTCATCGACTCCCCGAGCAGAAACGCCAGTAGGTCATTGTACACTTTACTAACCTCGACGCTCTTGAAAAATTGCAGGGTAGCCACCGCGGATCTGCACTGAAGCTGGAGGACCCCCAGCCAGGTAGATCTTTTGAAACATCTAGCCTTTGTCCGACCTTTTAGCCATGGTCATTTGGACGGAGCCTTGACCGGCTGCGCGGGTCCAGCGGCATGGAAGGTCTGTTATTTGGGTATATTCACATGATTTATTATTGTTATTAATATTATTATTAAAAGTGATATAATTGACTTTCAAGTTTGCTCAAGCTTTAAAAGTGATATTTTTGTTAGGAGATTTGTGAGGATTTTTGTGGAGAGTATATGGAGGGTTTGGGGATGAAGCAATATTGGGGACCAAGCAATGGATTTTTAAGGTTGGTTAATTGTTTAATTTTTTTATTGCTTAATTATGCTTTGCTTTATACAACCCAATTAAGTTTACATTTTTTATTGTTTTGTTTTGTGGTGCATAAACAAACACATCTACTTTGTAAACTATATGTAGTTTTAAATTGTCATCTTTTTTTTTTCTATTTATCGTTTCTGTTGAAGTTTCATGTTGGATAATGACTAATTATCGATGGTTTTGTTCCCATTTGTACTTTGAGGTTTTGCTAATGGCGGCAACTTGAGTTAATTGAGATTGAGCTTTTGAGCCAAGGACATTAACAGATGGGGGTATGTTAAGTCGACTGTTACTTTTTGGAACTTTAGCTTTTTAGAATTTTGTTTATGGGAAATGATTAGGCCATAATTGAATTTTCAGTAAGAAAATATGAAAACTGGATCATAATAAATACGGAATAATTTTACTTTTAAGAAGTGTTAGAATTATAAAGGAAAAACTACATTTTTATTCCTCTACCTTTGTAGTTAACTAAATTCCAATGCCTGAATGTTGGTAATTTTCATTGATAATTAATTGTAAAGAGTTCCACTGAACTGCAACATTTATCAAGCATTGAGAAAGCAGTAATAAATTCTACTTAGATAATGATTATTACTATTTGTTTAGAGGTCAAAAAAGAAACATTTGAGCAACTGCCTACTAGAGAGTGGCATTTGGAATAATTATTGCTGTAAATAAAGTTTTAACGAGTACCTTGTTGTGGCTACATGGATGTTAATGGGATCTATCTTTAATTTCTCAAGTTATAATGTCTCTTACCAAATTGTGATTTGTTTTTTTAAGTTAATGGGGACTATTTTTATTTACTCGTTTGATAGGTTAAATGGAGCGCCAAAGGAGGCTCTTTGAGAAAAATTGAATCTGCACGCGTCTCTATTCCAAGCACATTAGTACATGACGAGTCAAGAAAGCAGTAAGTAGGCTAGCCTCAGTTGCCAGTTTTCCTCTTCAAATGTTTGTTCAGTTTGCTTCTTTTTTTTTTGTTCACCTAATATGCAATGCGAGAAGGAATTCAACTTGAAGCGCATGTGGAAGTCTGGTACAATTTCAAACATATTTGGTCCATCGAGGCTGAGGAATATGAAGGTTTGAGAAACTAGGGTTCTTCTGTAAGGGAAAACGAAAGAACAGAAAAATAAAACTGATAATGAATTGATAAAATGAAAAATATGTGGAAGAATACCAAACACTTGTTTATATACTAACCCTAATCTAACTAAAGTTGTCTTTCACAAAATGACAACTCTACAAGGAATAATAATACAATGGTAAAATAGTAATAACATATATATTTTCAATATGTCAATGTATCCGGAATGTTATATCAGGATATTGGGTTTGGTGGGTTTCAGGTATACCCCAATAGGAAGACAATGGAGGATTATATCAGGATATTGCGTTTGTTTGAGTGTTGATGAATATATAGCTTATGCACCTCAGGTTAAGTTTTAAAGAAATAAATGTCTTTCCTTCTTGGGTGTCATTTATGTGGGTTGTACGGATTAGTCCATGTGATTCCTACAGATTAAATTTGAGCACAGTTGTGCGTATTTTTTCTTACATTTATACTTGCCAAAAAAAATGTGTTCGAGTATTTTTAAATATTGGTTATAATTATAGACTGGACTAGAGCTGGCTGTGCACGTCATTTTTCACATTACACATAGATGATTAAGTATGCTCTGAGTGAACCTTCCCTATTGAATTGAATAGTCACATCATTTTTCACATCCTCTCGCCGGCCATGGACATAGATGAGCGTGCCCTCCAACTAGACTCTCATAGGTCTCCAAAAAAACCTTACCTATGAGCTTTACACTGCCATCGTTACTACAAACAACAATCTCTCAAAAAATTGGTTGTCTATGAAAGCTCCAAAAGCCTTCCTCCATGATATTTTCTCCCATCCATTTGCCTTGATAGGCTTGGGTTGCTATACCCTTGTGCTTTTTGCTTACACGAAGCTATGGGGGCTATTTCGATGGGAAATCCCCCGCAAAGTCAGAGTGGTTGTGGAGACGGTCATGATTAACTTGAGCATTTTCCTGTCAACTGTCCTCAATGACGAATGGTCTCTGGCCATAGTGTTCGCGGCCACTATGCACCTCGTGTGCCTGTGCAATCTCGCCGTTGTCGTCGACTCCATTGGCCTTTACGATACTCTACTGTCCTCCTTCGGCGCTGGCGTTTTCACGCAGGCTGATAAGAAGTTTTCGACGAGCGTGGCCATTGCCATGTCTTCTGCGTTCACTTCACCATGTTCATGGGTATGCTAAAGCACTTCCACCAGTTTCAACGTGAGTGCTCTGATGCGGAGAAAGTCCACGGGGTCTTTGAGGCTGTCGAGAAGCCAGTTGAGAATGCTTTGGGGGCTGCGAAAAGTGCAGCGAAGGCCACCAAAGATGCTGCGGTTGCAGCCGAAGACAATCTGAAGGCTGCTGGAGAGGCATCTGGATCAGCTAGGGGGGTTAAGGCACTGGCCGCCGCCGTCGCGTTGGAAGAGGCTATGATGGCGGAATCGGCGATGAAAGTGGCCGCCGCAGCATAGATCTTTTTATTTTTTGTTTTGCATCACTTAAACACCTAAACAACCCAGAATTCTGGGTAAGTGGCTAATTTTGGGTTGTTTAGGTGTTTAAGTGATGCAAAACAAAAAATAAAAAGATCTATGCTGCGGTGGCCACTTTCATCACCGATTCCGCCATCATAGCCACCCCCTTAGTTGATCCAGAAGCCGTCTCTAGCAGCCTTCAGATTGTCTTCGGCTGCAACCGCAGCATCTTTGGTGGCCTTCGCTGCACTTTTCGCAGCCCCTAAAGCATTCTCAACTGGCTTCTCGACAGTCTCAAAGACCCCGTGGACTTTCTCCGCATCAGAGCACTCACGCTGAAACTGGTGGAAGTGCTTTAGCATACCCATGAACAGGGTGAACGCAGATGAAATGACAATGGCCACGCTCGTCGAAAACTTCTTATCAGCCTGCGTGAAAACGACAGCGCCGAAGGAGGACAGTAGAGTATCGTAAAAGGCCAATGGAGTCGACGACAACGGCGAGATTGCACAGGCACACAAGGTGCATAGTGGCCGCGAACACTATGGCCAGAGACCATTCGTCATTGAGGACAGTTGACAGGAAAATGCTCAAGTTAATTCGTCATCGAGGGATAAGAGAGTACTATGTAGGAGAGAGAAAGAGTAAGAGAGAGAAGGAATTTGTTTGTTTGTTTGTTTTTTTTTTTTTTGTTTTTTACC